ATTCCCTGGACCTTTTTTCCCATTCTCTCCCCTCCAGTAACCCTCCTTGTGATCTCCATTTCTGTGATTCTGTTCCTGTTCTAGCTGTTTGCTTAGTTTGTTTTTGTTTTTAGGTTTCTTTAAGGTTCAGTTGTTGATAATTGTGAGTTTTTTTGTCATTTTACTGTTCATAGTTTTGATCTTCTTTTTTTAGATAAGCCCCTTTAATATTTAATATAGTAAAGGCTTGGTGATGATGAACTCCTTTCACTTGACCTTGTCTGGGAAACACTTTATCTGCCCGTTCATTCCAAATGATAGCTTTGCTGGAGAGAGTAATCTTGAATGTAGGACCTTGCCTTTCATGACTTTGAATACTTCTTTCCAGCCCCTTCTTGCCTGCAAGGTTTCTTTTGAGGAATTGGCTGATAGTGTTGTGGGAACTCCTTTGTAGGTAACTGTCTCCTTTTCTCTTGCTGCTTTTAAGATTCTCTCCTTATCTTTAATCTTGGGTAATGTAATTATCATGTGTCTTGGTGTGCTCCTCTTTGGGTCCAACTTCATTGGGACTCTGTGCTTTCTGGACTTGTATATCTATTTTCTTAAAGGGATTGGGGGAGTTTTATTATATTATTTTTTCAAATAAGTTTTCAATTTCTCATTCTTGCTTTTTTCTTCTGGCACCCCCATGATTTGGATGTTGGAATGTTTAAAGTTGTCCCAGAGGTTCCTAAGCCTGTCCTCATTTTTTTTTTTAATTTTTGTTTCTTCATTCTATTCTGATAATATGTTTATTTCTTCCTTCTGTTTCAAATTATTGATTTGAGTTCAAATTTCCTTCCTTTCATTGTTGGTTCCCTGTATATTTTTCTTTACTTCACTTTGTATAGCCTTCGCTTCTTCTTTTATTTTGCATCTGTATTCAATCAATTCTGTGAGCATCCTGATTTACTGGTGTTTTGAACTCTGCATCTGATAGGTTGGTTATTTCTTTGTCAGTTCTTTTTCTGAATTTTGATCTGTTCTTTCATTTGGGCCATATTTCTTTGTCTCGGTGTACCTGTCCCATTGTAAGGGGAGGAGCCTTAGGCATTTGCCAGGGTAGGGCAACCCATGTAGCTTCGTTGTGGTGTGTATGTGAGGGAGGAGTCAGAGAGGGAACAATGCTGCTTGCTCAGCTCTTGCCCCACTTTCAAGAAGCTGGCAGTTTCTCCTGCCACTACAACCTCCATAAGTTTTTATAGCTAGAGGTTCTGAGGCTTTATTTTGCCTGTTTTGGAACCCTGGGTTGCATGGTGTGCCTTGCTCCTCAGTGGTTTCCCCCATTTATCCACACTCGAATGTGGTACTGTCCTGTCTGCTAGCTGCCACCTTGCCTCATGTCCTGTCCACCCCAGCTGTCCGTCTCTGTCCCTCCTACCAGTCTGGATGAATGTTTCTTCTTTAACTCCTTGGTTGGGACTTCTGTACAGTTTGATTATCTGGCAGTTCTGGTTATTTTTTGTTTTTAAATTTGTTGTTCTTCTTTTGGTGGTGTGAGAAGGCAAAGCATATCTATCTATGCTTCCATCTTGGCTGGAGTTCCCTGTTGTCTTCTGGAAGATAAATTTAATGAAATAAATGATCAACGGTTCTAAATCCCTGTTGTCTTCTGAAAGATAAATTTAGTGAAATGATCAGGGACTCTAAATGATACTTTTGTGGTGTCCGTTTTGGTTAATTTGCAACATAATACCTCCTACCTAAGTAGCTTCCATGGTTAGTCCTCCTTCCACCCATATACAAAATTAGAAAACAAGTGATAGTGTAATTGTTCAAGTATACTTGATGCTTAATCTTTTCCTGGAGTTTTCTGAAATTAATATTTTATGGTCTATGCTGTTCTGAGAATTATTTATATATTTTTAATTTTTATTTTATTTTTAATTACAGTTTATATTCAATGTTATTTTGTATTAGGTTCAGATGTACAGCTTAGTGGCTAGGCAATCATATACTTTACACAATGATCCCCCTGATATATCAGGTATCCACCTGTCACCACACATAGTTACTGCAATATTATTGACTACATTCCCTGTGCTGTATGTTACATCCCTATGACTGTTTTGTAACTGCCAATTTGTACTTCTTTAACACCATCACCTTTTTCACTCAGTCCCCCTGAGAACAGTTTGAAAAGTTAAATGGATGTATTAAAACTGAAAGTCTGCTAATAATAAATATCTTTGAAACAATTTGTTTGGGGACAGTTTCCAAGCAACTATCTGGTAACTTTTTTCTTCGTGTTTCATTGTGATACTAACAGATGATACGGAAATGACACATTTCAAGATTTTTCAGATTAACTAAACCAAGTGTATTTTGCAGCACTTCCTTGCTAATCCTTTTGAAAACTACTGTTTCTTCTCTTTTTTCAGTTATTTACAAATAACTGTTTACATAATGATTGTTCTGTCTTTTGGGGCATAGGTAATTATGTATTATACTTCATTATAAAATGTTCTACTAAAAAGCTACTACCATTCTTGCTTAAACATCAGAAAGTCTTTTAGCTTTAATCAATGCTGATATTTTACAAAGTGATTTCTAGAGAAACTGGTTCTGTAGGATACTGAAAATGTTAAAAAAAAAAAAAGAACAGTTCTGTGCTGATACTAAGTCAAACTTCGTTTCACCAAAACAATTCAGAGCTTTACAAAAATGTTAATGTGCAAAGTGATCTTCTAAGAGAGATCTAATAGTCATGGCTTTTCCACAGAGTTTGTTTCTTTGGGAACAACCAGCTTTCTTATTTTGTGGATTATCATAGAGGTCTCATTTTATCAAATTACTTAAGTTCTTGGGGCCTCCGCTTTCTAATACTTTTAATACAATGGCACTCTAAGATACATACTGGTAGGTTCTCTGCTCTGCCCCGCAACAGCTCTGTCTCTCAGCTCTTTGGATAAACGTGGCTCTCACCCTGATCTCTGGGCTTCTACTTCTTGTTTCTTCCCTGAATTCTTTCCCTTAAGAACAAAACAAAACATTATTACTGGGGATCCCGTGGAGTAGATTCGGAAGGTGCACCTGCTCCCTTGGAAACTTTAGCTGTACATTAAAAGTTTGGTAATCACTGTTCGTCGTGATTGTGGCTTTTCAGTCTTATTTCTTTGGAGTTCATTCTCTTAGTAAATAGCCAAGCATGGAGTACACATTGGTAAGTGGTTTGGACCCAGCCCCTGCCCCTCTAGAGCTCATATGAATAGTGTCAGAAAAGAGAAATTAAACAACAATCATAGTTATTCATAAACAAATAAATATGCAAATACATTGTGATAAGTGCTAAAGATTAAAGTATAGAGAACTCTGCATTGTATAGTAAGGAGGAACATTTCTAGCCAGAGGGTGCAAGAAAGGCTTCCTGGGGAAGTGGCTTCAGCTAAGCTTTGTGGGGTGAATCAGGTGGTTGCTAGATGAAGGAGATTGGAGGCCAAGCCCAGAGCAGGGCCTTTGGGCTGGAGGACCTGGGAGTGGGGAGCAAGGGGGATAGAGCAAAAAAAGAAACAACAAGGAGAAAGAACTGATGGGCATGGATAACAGTGTGGTGACTGCTGGGAGGTGCAGGGGGTGGGGAGAGGTGGAGGGTAAAGGAGAGATAAATGGTAATGGACAAAGGATGGACAGAGACTTTACCTGGGGTGGTGAACACACAATACAGTGTATAGATATTATGTTGTATAATTGCACACCTGAAATCTGTATAATTTTGTTAACCAGTGCCACCCCAATAAATTCAATAAAAAGGAAAAATTACCACTGTGGCTTTGGAAAGATAGTACTTGAGCTGCCACGGGAGATTTTTGGTACACGGATACATGAGATTGCATTCTTTTGTTGGTGCGTGTATGCCATTTGCCCACAAGAACCACTGTTGTTCATTTGTCACCTTCTTGGTGATTTATGATATTCACTTGCTCTATCATTAAATATATAAAGCAAATAGTGTTCCATTCCCCAAATAATCTGGGGAAATTCTGCCTAGAGGGAATCATGGTTGTAACCAAAATAATCCTTTCCCACAGACAAAAGGTAGGGACCACAGGGACCCTTCCTTTAACCCCAAATAGTGGTCTTTTCTACATTCCTTTCTACATTTTGCAAGGCATAATTTCAAACAATTTCTACATCTTGCAAAATTTTATATTTATTATTGTTTGCTCTATAATAACACATATGAAATAGAATATAAAGGAATTTATACAATTTAAAGAATTTAAAGGAATATGATAGAAATCTGGTTTGACATTATTAGGCTTCTAGTAGTATTTTCAGGTGTTTCCTAAAAAAATAAAAAGTATTGGTTGTTGATGTACCCATTGAAAATTTTTAGCTCATTTGAGTCAAACTGACGACATTTTTAGGAAGCAAAATCTCAATGGATTGAGAAAATGCTCCAGATAAGGGCAGTTCTGCAGTTTACTTAATCATTAGAATCAGAGGAGGAGACCTAAATAAAGTTATACGAAATCCATTGTTGGTAGATTAAAGGGGTGGGAGAAAGCAAAGCAGGGGCGTCTTCAGGATTGAATGGAACATAAAGCAAAGATACACACAATAGTTAATAATTAACCTTCACAGCACAGAGATGGGTGCAGGGAACAAGGAACAAAATGACAGTGAGACGTTCTAGTGGGGTGTGTTCTGAGGGCTCTGGAAAAGGAGATCGCTCTGACAATTTAAAAGTGTGTCATTTTAGATGCAAAAAGACAATGGACAGGCTCCCTTCAGGTGAAGGTTGACCTTTGCCAAGGAAGACACAGGCCTAGGACATGACCGCCCACCATGACTCACTTTTAGTGAGGAAGTTTTACGTTCAGACCATCCTATGTGGTATTTTTCATTCTCTTGAGTGTGTAAGGCCACCATGCAGGCTTCCCCTGAGCTTATCAGGCTTAGTATGTAGCCCCTTTTTTCTCCACCGGGATTTGACCCTTAGCTTTGCTGACTGCCTTATTTTTGTTTTCTTCCTGCTCCAGTCTAGTGGAATTGCAGCCATCATTGTTATTTTGGTGTTACTGCTGCTCTTGGGTATCGGTCTGATGTGGTGGTTTTGGCCCCTTTGCTGCAAAGTGGTGAGTAAGACTTTCAAACCTACTCTTTTTTTCTTAACCAGTAAGATATAAATAAAGCCTGAAATGTAAATCAATGCTACATTGTTCAACAGCAGCAGTTTCAACTAGCAAATTGAATTTTTCATAGTTTTTATCAATTACTTCTAGAAAACATGCATGCCAATAAATATTTTTTATAAAACTTCATCTAACAAAATTTCAAAATCAGGTTGGGAGGAAGAAGGGGAGAAGAAGGTAAGAGAGAAGTCATAGGGGTAAAGGGTTTTCCACTTAATTACAAAAAGAATTTTAAGTAAAGTAAATGATATTGTCTACTGGACTATTGGAAGAAGTTGAAAATCTGTCAGATCTCTTTTTAAGTGCTTACCAAATCTCTCATTAACTTTTTGAGAGATCTACTATTTCAGAACCTTCTTTTTTTGCACCTCAGAAAAACATTTTAGTTATAAGTCATGTGCAAATGCCAGGGTATCTGTTAAAACAGTCACTTTTGAAGTCGTGGCAGTTGGTTTTAGTTTATATCATTTTTCATGTTTAAGTAAAAGCTCTAAAAGGACATGGGTGTATATTAGTTTTCTGTTGCTACTATAACAAATTGCCACACATTTGGTATTTTAGCTTAAAACAGTGCAGATTTACTGTCTAACCATGATGCGATCACTGATGCAGCATGCCCCTCACTGGGCTCGAGTGGGCTAAAAGGTATCAGCACGGACACATTCCTCCCTTAATGCTCTGGAGATCTGTTCCCTTGCCTTTTCCACCTTGTAGAGGCCGCCCACATTCCTTGCCTACAGGGCCCCTTCCCAGATCTTCAAAGCCAGCAAGATGCATCTCTACCATCCTTCTGTAGTCGCATCTCCCTCTGACTCTGAACTCAGCTGGGACAGGACCTCCAATGTTAAGGAACCGTGTGATTAGGTTGGACACTTGGATAATCCAGGATAATCTCTCATCTCAAAGTCATTAACCTTAATCACATTGCAAAGTTCCTTTTGCCTGGTAAGGCAATTTAGTCACAGTTCCAGGAAATTAGACTTGTGGACATCTTTGTGGAGTTGCAATTCTGCCTACCACAGGGTGGAATGCTGAGTAATAAATAGCAGCAGACTTCAGGCAATCCAATTTGGATTCTTTGGGTTTCATAGAAAAGATTATTCCAAAGAAGCACTTTTTCAAAGCATGCCTACTACTTATGTTGATAGTGCTCCTTTTTATTATCAGCACATGATATAGAACTGTGTATTCCGTAGATCATAGTATTGTTTTACATAATATTACTAGACTGCCTTTCACCCCCTCACCTTTGCTGATTGATTTCGGCTTCCTTGCAACATCAGGCAGTGCCTGTACTGCAGTCTGTGTTCAGTAGGCAACTTTATAATCTTTTATCTCAGAGCAGGAGGCACAGAATTAAACAACAGTAGAAACAAGAAGCATCCTGTCTCTTTGCTGAACTAATCAGTTTCCTGCCATAGCAGTTTATGCACAAACGGCTTCCTGTTGTAATCTTGACTTTCCTAGTGACACCTAAAGTTTAGGTCAGCTAGCATTCTTGAGTCTCACAGTAAAAAGCAAAACTTTGTCCTAAAGTGATTTGTACTCCTTGTTTTTGTTTTGTTTTTATTTTAAACTCTGCAGTTAGGGATTTTCTTTCTTACTTTGCAGTTTCATATAATATGGACCAGTGGGCTGAAAAGTGTCAGATATTTTTAAAGACACTTGCAAAAACTGAAACAGGCTTCTTTGGGAGGTTGCTAGATGTGCTCAGATGAGGTCTTGACTATCATTTTAGATCTTATAGAAGGGATTCAATCATCAGGCTGTGAGGGAAGATCCATTCTCACCCTGGGACTCTGAAGATTGCAAGTGTATACCTTTAAGATGTGAGGGTTTCCAATCCTGAGAAACATCATGAATGCTTGCTAATTTCTAGAGCTGGTTTAATGGAGAAAACCACTTTCACTTTACATTTAGAAATGTAGATTTAGAGGGCAGCAGTCCCTGGGTACCAGCTGATACTGAGATCTAAGTATAAGTGAATCACAGCAAATCTTCCCCAAAGTTGGTTTGAAAGCCAGGAGAAAGTAAAGGCAAACTTCTGCCTTCAACCTTTAGCAGTCTACTGTGCCAATACAGTGCTAGGAGCTGGGGAATACAAAAATGATTACAATATGGTATGGAAGCTCACATTTTAGTGCAAAACACAGCACTGTGGGCAAAATGTACACAGAGGGTGGTGAGTGTCCCAAGAGTAACACAGGTAAAGCACAGTAAGAACACAAAAGAGGAGGGATTTGCTAGAGTTAAGGGACTGTTTCAGAGAAACCTAAGCTGCTGACTCCAAACTGAGTTTGGAATAATGAACAATTTTGTTGACAGTTGAAGAAGGACCATTCAGTTGAAGTGTGTGCAGAATTATGAGTTATTCCGCCATGCTTTGGAGAGGCCTAGACTGAGGCCTTAGGTGCCGCTGACAGGGAGCGTGAAAGATGGTTTGAGATCCAGGACTGAACCCCTGCAGGGAGGGCCTCCTGTGTCTTTTAGTAAGTTTGAACTCACCCCAGGGATGCCGAGAAGCCACTGGAGAGATTGGATCTGTAAAATCCCCTGAAAGAAGCTTTGCTTGCTTCTTGGCTAGATGTCTGGTCCTGGCAGGGATTAAAGTCTGTGTCCAGCTCAGTTTCAGCAACGATTGAAATGGAAAGCCAGTAACAGATAGTGCACCTTAGGGGCGGATGGAGCAAAGAGTCTCTGACGAAGTGCGGAGAGCTGGAGTATAACAGAGGCCACGTGAGCTGGAGAACAGTGAAGAGGTGACCGGAGAAGGGGCGAAGGAGGCTAACCTTGTGGAAGAACAGAAAGATTTTGAGTGTACCCCGTGCTGTAGGACACCTGAGGGATATTTATTTTATTTTGTTCCTTTTAGAGACTATACATGTGCAACGCTGGCGTCAGAATGTGCTTAGTTAAATAATCCTTAGCATTAACTTACTAGGGATAAATTTGACTTTGATTTTCTGTTATTAGCATCATATTACTTCTTAATAGGGAAAAGATATACATCTATTTCAACTCGGTATTGCACAAATTTCTTTTTGTTTCAGTGTGTTTAAGCACCAGTGCTAGAGAGTTAAAACTAATCTTCCAACTGAAGCATGACTAACAGTCTAAAAGGTCTGTCCTCCTGCACACTTAAATTGTCTTTGCAATTCACCTTTTTGGGAGTCCTATGCTCCAGACCTCTTATCAAGGTAAACAGCCTGGGGACAAGCCCTGACCAGAGGCCTCACTATTTGTCACACATTCTTCATTCAATCATTTCATATTTTATGAAAATATCCTTTTTTACATTTTATTTTATTTTAATTGTTGTTCAAGTACAATTTTCTGCCTTCTATGCCCATCCCAGCCCACCCCCCAGCCCTCCCTACCTTCCTCCCATTTCTCCCCACCCTTGTTATTGTCCATGTGTCCTTTATACTTGTTCCTGCAAACCCTTCCCCTTTTCCCCTGAAATTCCCTCCTCTCTCCCCTCCGGTCACTGTCAAATACCCTATGATCTCTCCTTTAACAGGAACCTAATCAACAAAACAAACAAGCAAGCAATAACCAAAGACACTGAAATTGAGAACAGGCTGACAGTGAAAATATCTTATGAACTGATTTCATCATTCATTGTTTAGAGATTAAGATTTCATGGGTATATAATAATGACTCAAATGTGACAGTGGTATTTGGATCTTAGACTTGATTCTCAGTTGTTTTTGTCCTTGAAGGCCTTTAGAGGAGTGCTTATCAGATTTCCAGTGGTGGCTCTTCCCCTAGGGAAGGCTTGGGGCTGAGTGAGGTATCTCCAGGAATCAGCATAGTTTGGAAACCCCGGCGTGTTATGTTGAATAATGATCCCTAAAGTTATCTAGGGCTTAATTCCTGGAAACTGAATGTTATGTCATATGGGTAAAAGGGCTTTGCAAATGCGATTAAATTCAAGATTTTTTAAACCTTCACCTGTCTTTATTTTTCTTTAATTTATATTCTCTTTTAGAAAAATCTTTATTGTATTCTTTTCCATTGCCATTTAGCCCCTTACACCCCCCTCGCCCCAGCAATCACCACACTGTTGTTCTTGTCCATGAGTTCTTTTTCCTTTTTGCTAATCCCTCCACCCCCAACCACTCCCCATACCACAAGCTATCATCTGCTCTCCATCTCTGAGTCTGTCTCTATTTTGCTTGTTCAGTTTGTTCATTAGATTCCACATATGAGTGAAATCATATGGTATTTGTCTTTCTCTAACAGGCTTACTTCACTTAGCATAATGTTTTCCAGGTCCACCCATACTGTGGCAAAATTTTCTTCTTTTTTATGGCCCAGTAGAATTAATTCCATTGTGTAAATGTCCCATAGTTGTTTTATCCACTCTTCTACTGATGGACACTTGGGCTGCTTTCTTATCTTGGTGATTGTAGATAACACTGCAATGAACATGGGAGTGCTTATGTTCTTTCCATTAGGGTTATGGGTTCCTTCAGATGTATTCCCAGAAGTGGGATTGCTGGGTCAAAAGGCAGATCTATTTTTTATTTTTTGAGGTATTGCCACTCTTCTTTCCACAGTGGCTGCACCAATCTGCATTCCCACCAACAGTGCAAAAGGGTTCCCCTTTCTCCACATCCTCACCATCACTTGTTGTTTGTTGATTTATTGATGATTGTCACTGTGACAGGTGCAAGATGATATCTCCCTGTGGGTTTAATTTGCATTTCTCTGACAATTAGATTAGTGACACTGAACATCTTTTCATATGTCTAGTGGTCATCTGTCTATCCTCTTGGAGAACATCTGTTCAGGTCTTTTGCCCATTTTTTCTTTGATGTTGAGTTTTATAAGTTCTTTATGAATTTTAGATATTAAGCCCTTATTAGATATTGGTGAATTTGTTCTCCCTTTGGTGTTTTTTTTGTTTTGTTGATTATTTCCTTTGCTGTACAGAAAAA